AACTATTCGAATTCAAATCGAGTCGAATCTAATGTAATTCGATTCGATTCGAATCCGAATCCCTATGATTCGAATCCGAATAATTCGAAAATTTCGAATCGCGAAGATTCGAATCAAATACATTAGCGTTTGCGCGCATCAGCTACAAAAGGGGCCATCTGGGCCTATATGTTTGAACCTTTAACTTGCAATTAACTTAACTTATAATTAATAACTTAATTATAAATTACTTTAAATATTTAAATATATATTTTACTTTAAGATGATATTACAATGTCAATATTCTCTTTCATATTAAAATCTTCCATCATTATTTGCATGTTTAATAATCATACTAAATTTTTTAATAATTTGATTCGATTTCATTCGATTCGATTCGAATTCGAATAAAATTTCATAGATTCGATTCGAATTCGAATTTAAAAAATGAGATTCGATTCGATTCGATTCGACATAAAAATTCTTGATTCGCACATCTCTATTACTAACAATCCGTTTCTATGCTATGCGAGAAAACATGAAACTGAAAAGAATCTATATATGTGAAAAAAGCGATAATACATTCTTCCCGTATGTATAACAGCTATATGTGTGTACGACAAAATTATTCATACGAAGTCATAATAAACAAGATGAACGATCGCGTTTAATCGGAAGCGTCACGCGCTCACGTTCGAAGCGAAGTGTATATGAATATGAATATGAAAATGGGTCATATTCGTCGAATACAAATGCGCTTGTCGATAAGTCGAGTGACACGTGTCGTCTCGATCACGTTGTCTGCTCTTTCTTCCTCGCTCCCCACTCCTTGTGATCGTAAGCCACAAACTATTATACTCACACACATCCCCCGGTACGTAACACGTACATAACGACACAGTTTTTCTGCCTTCGTTCGCGCGTCGGGCCGTAAAAGTGCGTCTAATAAATGGCCGATAAATGGCCCGTTGCACAAGTGATTTCGAAAGCTCCGGTCGACGCAATTTTTACGCGCGTGCACGTGCGGCTAGAGATCGCGAGCGGAAAAGATCGTCCAGTTCCGCTGCGTGCGATGATAGGCGTTGCAAAATTGAGGATTCGGATGAAATAACACGCCGCCGAGGCGGCCGGCGACGTATAAGCTGAAAAATATTATTCTCCGCACTGCGAGATAGTCCGAGATTTCCGAAGTAAACAATTCTCGACGAAGGCGCGGACTCGTGCGCGGAGTTTGGCCACGTGGCCACGAGTCCAAGCATTTGACGTTAACAATTCGCGATCACGTGGTGCGTCGAAGAAAATTTACGAATCTTCACGTTTCACATATTTGATCTGGACGGTTATTTCAATGTCCAGCTCAAATTTTAATCACCAAAGATGCGACGAATAAATGCAATTCTCGCGTATTCTTGCATAATGTTGTATGTTGGATGTTTAACTTGCCATACGCAGTTGTGGTTGCGTTTGTACATGTAAATTAGCGAGACTCGGCGATTTTACAGCGTCATTGCTGACCATTGCTCACCATCACGGCAGTCAACGTGTTAACGAATTCCTTTTGGGCCGGATTCGACCGGATTAACTTGTCGACATATAATTAATTGCGTATTATCTTGTGTCCTATGTGAATTAATATATTGTTAATTTAAGTTTACGAAAATACACATGTTTCTACGATCTGATCTCAGATGAGTCGTTTTCGTGTCGCTCGAAGATTGCTGTCGTGTGTCTTCTTTTTTCCCTCTTTCTTTTCTCTTTTTGTTTTACCATTTTTAGCGCCATGACATTCGGCTTCTATCTGAAGTGTCGTTCCGACCAGTCGTGATGAGTCTGACGAAATCGCTTGCCTACGATCGAGTGTATGTGCGATCAATGCAATAATACAGGAACATAGTTTGTTTTTCTTGTTCATTTTCAAAGGCAGATTAAATTTTTGAAATTTCGAAAATTCTTGAGATCATATATGACTAATTCAATGAGATTTCACCGATTACACCTATCTGTACATCGTGACGACGAAAGGAAAGGAAAGACGGAGCCGTAAGAATGCTCGTTTCTCGCTTATTGTTTCGACAAGCGGCATTTTCCGCTGTTCAACGTCGCGCAACTCTCTCGCACGCGGTGTCAAGTATGTATGATCGTTCGCGGGAAAATAAAAAGTCACGCGCCGCCAGATATAGATTATAAATACACATTACGTCGATACGTTCGTGATATATGCAACAATAAATCGCCAGCTTCGGGTGTCAGGCACTAAAAAGTATTTTCCCGTGGAGGAAAATGTGTTTGATTGGGCTTGCATCTGACAAAGCGATTTTTATAACGAATGCGCATTCGCATTCGCAAAATCGCAAGGCGAGACTACAATTACGACCATATTTATAGATTGCTTGCCAGCCATCGGTAATTTATTTATCGGTAATTACATACTCTTAAATTTCAGCGTTTTTGATGCAAATATTTTCTGCGACTCGCTTGTTAATTTTTTTCAAACGAATTTAAGAAGAAGACATGGATCGTGCCGTACGGCTTGCGAAAGAAAGTACGCAGCAAAATGGTATCTCATATTAATTAACTAAATACATTACGCATTATAAATTATTCCAAGGCTCCCGGGTCATACGTGTCTCGCGATATATCCACTATTTGTTTCTTGTGCTACGTGTTATATGTGACTCATCATGTGCGAGAACACGAGAAAATTAATTAAAAGTAAGAATTTAAACGTTCACGCGAGACCGAGTGTCAAGATGTTCACATGAGACGTCGGTCTCACATTGACGATCTTACGATAATTTTGAGTACATGGAAGTAATTTTGTTTATTCATGCACGGAGGGGATATTGTGAATAACTTGCTTTTGTATAAATTCTTTTAGATTTTACTATATTTCTTAGTAATGCAGAAATATAAAATAAATGATTAATAAACTTTGGTGATACATCCCTCGGTTACAAAATTCTGACTTTATTATTTGCAAAAATTTCAAGTCTAGAGAGAAGACCAATCGAAGATCCCTTCGTATCCCGTCGAATCTCTCGTGAAACTTACAAACTGAATGCTGTGTGAGACTGTAATTACGATAAAATGGCTAATACTCTTATATAATGTGCAGTAATTGATTACCAGCTCGCGTCGTACAAGAGAGTTTCTCGCTCTCCCGGACTTTCCAAGTTTGACATTTCATACGCAATTGCTCAATGTACTAATGTACGAACCGAAAGAGCGGCGAATCATGCCGCAGCGTCGTGGCGCTTGCGAAAATATCTCTCCGCCAACATTATCGGACAAAAGGGGCGGTGACGAAAATACGCAATATAAAATATGCGGCAATTCGTCACGTTCGCGGCCGGCGCGACGTAGAATGCCGATTCACCGCATCAAATTTTTTCGCATTTTTCTCTCGACTCGCAAAAAATACAGAGGGAGAGAGAGAGAGAGAGAGAGAGAGAGAGAGAGAGAGAGAGAGAGAGAGAGAGAGAGAGAGAGCTTCTCGCGATTATTACTTATTTCATAGGTATGCGAAGCTGCGGCGTAAATCGCTTTCGCATTGCGTGGTTCAGGGCGGCCCGTTGACGTCGCTGTTGATTAAGCCTAAGCGGAATTTGATATCGCAAATTCCCATTCGGTCGTGCATATGTAACTGTCGCGTGCGAAAAAATTCGCAAGCATCGCGAAGGAACGGGCGGATGTAGCGGGAAGGAGGGTAAGTATCGCGTATCGATCGCGTAGCCTCGTACTTGTAGTTGAGTATCTCTCGCTGGTCGCGCGCTTTTATCACTCCGCGCTGCATTATCATCGCATGCATTTCCTCAAGGTCCGCGGCGATCTGCATACTTAACCCCGCCTGACCTGGCGTGTATCGCGACGTACGCGCGCGCGCGCGCGCGCACGTGCAGTATCCACGTTATTAAAAACTAGAATTATTCACGCAGAACCGCTGCCGCCTCGGAACTGCGCGGCGAAGTATCGTCGAGAAACGTGAACCGCACATTTGTCGCGCGGCTTTGCCGCTTATAATCGATCCTTCGCGGTCCGAAATGTATTTTCGACTTCTCGTCTCAAGCGACTTGTAAAACTATCGTTCGTTTACCTTGCGACGACGTCGCGTACTTTGCAATTTATTTCAATATCTTCCGACATTTAACCGAAATGAACAGCAACATGTTTTACGGTAATATATTTATATTGGATAGGCGTTGTTAATAACGAAGGAGTTGGTTTGCGTAGAACGAAAGACGATGTGTTTTGAGATAGACTCGACGCAGAACTGCAATCGATTAAACCGTTATGTCTGCAATAATTCTTATATTTTATACGTTTCTTTCTATTCTTTCTTTTTTTAACGTATATACTCATTTGTAAAAAGATTTTCATACATTTCTTTCCAGTAAGATTATAAGTTAGAGGTGCTTTAAATCGTAGTAGCAAGCTTACGAGCTTGCGTGATAATCGGTTACGATAGGAGGATGATGTTGCAAATTAGACATGTAAATATATTGACCATTTATTATATTCGATAGACAAGAATACGTGTAATAGATAATTGTATTTGTCCTGAATTTCTCTGGTTCAAATTGTGACGTCGAACGTCTCATGTATTGTCACTTCAGTTTCTGTCATAATCGGTTACCGCATAAAAAAATCTTGCAAGTAATGGCTTACAATCGTAGGTTAGTAAGGTTAATAGCCTTAATACGCAACATAATTAGGTTACTAATACCTTCTAACTCGGTACACTTGTTTGTAGACATTAATATGAAGCTGTCGCAATAACGAGTTACAATTTTGATATATTGTTCTTTAAATAATTAGTAACGCGTACGATTGGAAAATCCCAGAAATTTGATTGCAAAAAGAAAAAAGGAACATCAATGTTCTTTCGGTTATGTGCTAATTGCAAATATTATCGCCGATTACAATTACAATTACAATTACGACAGAAGGATGAAAGGTGATTACCTCGCGGTGCAGCAGGAGGAGCGAATTTAAAGAAACGTTTTGTCCGTTTTATGTTGCAGACGCTGATCTGTCCATGGGCGCAGGAGCAGCGGGAGGATCCATTCTCGGTCTTGCTGCTTCGGGGGTCACCGGTGTCACCGGGGTCACCGGGGTCACCGGAGTTGATGGTAGCACTGGTGTCGCCGGAGTCGCTGGAATCGCCGGAGTTGCCGGTGTTGCCGGGGTCCTACCGCAACATTGTGCTATATGTGGCGATCGCGCTACGGGAAAACATTATGGTGCCTCGTCGTGCGACGGGTGCAAAGGGTTCTTCCGGCGTTCCGTCAGGAAGAATCACCAATACACTTGCCGGTATGTCGCGATCCCTGTCTCTTTTTTCCCTCTCTCTTCTTTTTCATTTTCCTCTTTCCTATCTAAGTGTCGACCTTTTCTAGGACCTCGCTTTTTCTCGCTTATTATCTCCGCTTATATCTCCCTTTTCTTCTCTACTGAATAAAATGCTACTGAATTGTACTTTTACCTTTACCTTTTTGCTTTTCTTCTTTGTATTTTATGTTCTTTATTTCTATTTTAGCTTTTTATTTTAGCTTTTGTTGAACCAAATGATCTATATTTCTTTATTTACGTTTTTTCTGTCACACTTACGTTTCTTTTTATTTTTACTCGTAGTTTTGTACGTTTTTATATGCCGTTCAATTTTACATGGTATCGTTAAATGTATTGTTAAATGATTTATACTTAAAACGGCCATGGAAAGCCTATTTCAGAGCAATAGTTAAAAAGACACCTATCTTTGTCTCTAAATTACTACACGTTCGTACACGTGGATCTTGTTACGAAATTGTGTCTCACAGACTTCTCCTAACAGATTTAAATTGCGAAATTGCGAAATTTAACTTCCTTATTTTTATTTTCATTTTTACAGTTTCTGTTAAACCAAAGGGTCTACATTTCTTTACTTGCGTTTTTTCTGTTACATCTACGCTTCTTTTTATTTTTATTCGTAGTTTTGTACGTTTCTATATACCATTCAATTTTGCGTGGTATCGTTAAACGGTATCGTTAAGTGGTTGCGCTTAAAACGGCTATAGAAAGCTTATTTCAGAGCGATAATTAAAAACCAGCTATCTGTCTCTAAATTACTACACGTTTGTACATGTAGATCCTGTTACGAAATCCTGCCTCACAGAGCAAACTTTTCCCAACAGATTTAACCGAAACTGTGTGGTTGACAAAGACAAGCGGAATCAGTGTAGATACTGTCGGCTACGTAAATGCTTTAAGGCCGGAATGAAGAAAGAGGGTGAGTTTGCCGAATTTTGAATCTATCTGTGTGTATTTTATATTTTGTTTTATTGCGTATTCAAAGACATGCACACGGTGCATATAGCTGTCACTATTTCCAAATAAAAAATATATCAAAGTTTAGTGAACATAATTCATTATTAACGTACGGGCGGAGTACATCTCGATGTCGAGATTCCTCCTTCCGTAATCTCGTCTTTCTTTCTATCATTAACAAGAAACATTTTTAATTAATATTCGCACTTACTATGGTCACACTTTTCTAAACTATTATCACGCACTCTGCATTCACGACCCTTTCATAATATTCCTTGTAAGGTGCATCTCTCTTTTACTATTTACTATTTCTACTATTTACCACTTTATTTCATTTCATTGTCTGCGATTCAGCTGAAGACCGAGTAACATCGTCATTATTACTATTTTGTGATTGTCGCTAACAGTCTTATTGAAGTTGAATAGCTGATCGAAGTGATCAAAATTCGAGTTGCAAGAAATACAAATACGCACATTTGAACTCGAGTATATTTTATGTTCATTGAGCTTAAAATATTTTCACTTTTGAATTAATGAATATCCATTTTTCTGAACACCTATCGACAATTGACAATTCGGATTGTTGCACGTATAACCGCATTATAAAATGAAACAGAGTTTCCAACAGGACCGTACTAAGAGAATCATGATTATATTTCTCAATTTCCTTAAAACCATTTTTTGCGGCTGCGTCTTCATCTACACGCGAAAAAGAAATAAAGAGAGAGAGAGAGAGAGAGAGAGAGAGAGAGAGAGAGAGAGAGAGAGAGAGAGAGAGAGAGAGAGAGAGAGAGAGAGAGAGTGAGAGAGAGAGAGAGAGAGAGAGAGAGAGAGAGAGAGAGAGAGAGAGAGAGAGAGAGAGAGAGAGAGAGAGAGAGAGAGAGAGAGAAAGAGACGAAGGAGGTAGAATGATACGTCAACTTGCAATAATTACAGCTGTGCAAAACGAGAGAGATCGCATAAGCAGCCGGAGACCCAGTTATGAAGAACAATTGGCGAGTAATGTGAACGGGCTTTCGGCGGTTCACTTACTGCACGTCGAAATGTTCAACAGACAACGGACTGAGGTCAGTACAGCTTAACCCCGGCCGAGTTGAATATGTATGATTGAGATTTGCCTTGGTCAATCACGCCGAAAACTCGGCATAATTCGCCGACTTTTAATCGCGCTCGTTTATTCTCTTTGAAGTCGCGCGCGTACGCTTGACAATCCTCGTCATTTCCCTGCTACGTATGTAATGCTTCTTTCTCGCTCGAAGAATCGCACACAGGAAACGGTGTCAATTGATCTCAGCTAAGATTTTTAGCGGTTTCGAACAAAACCGACAGGAACTTCCGTGCCGTTCCTGTCGATCGTGTCTTACGTAATTCGTGTTGGGGAACGATCGTTCTTTTTCCTCCTCCTGCAATGTAATGCGCAAAACGACAAGCACCAAACGCACTGACGATTCCGTGCGATTTTAGCCAGGCAGTCCGAACGGCGAGATCGATTTCACAACGATGAAATTAGCGAGCATAGAGGATGTGTGCGAAAGTATGAGGGAACAATTGCTGCTCATGGTCAGCTGGGCGAAATCTATTCCGGCATTCGGCGAGCTCATGCTGGATGACCAAGTGGCCTTGCTGAGAGCACACGCGGGCGAACACCTGTTGCTGGGGGTGGCGAGGCGCAGTATGCGTCTCAAAGACACGCTGTTGCTCGCTAATAATTGCGTCATCACGAGAACTTGTCCTGGTACGTAGAAGTTTATGAGCGTTTATCAAGTTTTACGGTGTTGGTAGTTTTCTCATGTCGAGCGGAGCGGGCGGTCCCGAATGTGACAACGCGCGGGAGAGGAAGATTCGAGAGAGAAGGAATCATAAAATAATCGTACGAATCGACGCGATTCGTACGATCGTAAAATCTGAGCAGCGTCTACACAGAGAGAATTTTACGGTGAAAATTACTGTGATATTTTGCAACTTGGAACGTGTCGAAATTCTGCCTTTACCGTCTTTTCGTTTCATATATGTTATTTGTAATTTTTTTTTCATAGTGAAGTTAAACATTTTTCAATCAAGGAACATATCGACCAGTCTGCTTTAACTTTTTATCAAATCTTTTGTAATTTATTATTTTTTATTTTCCCACGTGCATTTATTTGTATTCCAAAAACTGAAGGCTGTTGTTAAAAAAATCTAAGATTTTACGAGGAATGACATTATTAGAAAACAGCAAAGTTGGAAAAAGATTACGCGGAAGAAGTTATAACATTCTCTCTGTGTATAATCGAAAGATGCAAAAAATACGCAAGACACGTTCGTAAAGCTTGCACACTCGCGTTGAATATCAATGTAAGATTTTAGACATTCACAGAATGTCTTTTCGAAGCTCGTTGGAAACGTTCGAGCTTTCCGCGAGAGTATCTCTTATCTTTCTCTTTCTCTCTCTCTTCTCTCTCGAGGGGTTTCATAACTGTGTCGGGATTGATACCGCGTTGACACAACCGACTTGCTCCGGTCGCGCTTACTCGTACGCTGCATGTATTCATATGCTGCGTTTCGGCTTGGATGAATAACGATACTGGGCCAGGGATGTTATCGTATGCTTGTGTTTCTTGGGTTTTGGTGCTGATGTTATTCCTCTTCAGATGATTAATATTAGGCAAACCTCGGCCGGTTTTCTCCTCGCGTGTGTTGCGTAAAAACTTCGTCTTGTCGCGAAACGGTTCTCCCGCTTTAAGAAAAACGAAGAGGATCTGGAAGATATACGATAATTAGTGGCAACGCAAAATTCTCGAAGAACAATAAAAGCAGGACAAGAAGTCTCTTGAAATAAATGTCAGTTATACGAAATATTTTCCCTTCTTAACCCTTCGAGTCCCGGACTTTTATCTTAGGAAATTTATTTTATCTTAGTAGAAGTATTGGATGTCAAAATAATGTTTCAAAAATCAATTTGAAAAGTAGTTTTAGAGGAGCAAGAGGAGATTACAAAATTTTATTGTGAAAAATTAGGAAATCGATGAAAGTTCAGTTGTTTTTTTTCAAAATAAATAAAATATAATTATATATGACAACAACTAAATAGTCTCAAAAACACTATCAAACGACGCAGAGGAGTCTCCATCAAAATATTTTTATTTTCATAATTATATGCCATTACTTATAAGGATGCGCCAGAGCCCGTGGAATTAACATAAATATGTAATGGTTTCAACGGTATTCGGTTTTGATTCTACCTGAGTGATCTACGCGAGCGATACTTGAAAATCGCCATTACTGTCCGAAACTTGAAAGGAACTCTCGCCCGGGAAGTAGTAAAAAATATTCCCGAGGCGCCCACACAGAAATTCGGCAGCCATACAAGATTCACGTAGGAGACACGAACCTGTGAGGCTCAATATTTTTAAACGAACGTTAGGTTTCGAGCACGAGAGATCGACGTGTTCAGCTAACAAATATGAATCAAGTAACAAGTGGCTTCTTATCGAGTGAACGAAGATATCTTGATTTGCGACAAAAGCCGTCGATATCAGGGTGACCGATATGTCCTTCCTCGCGACTCGTGTCAGCATTTTTAAGAGATTTGAGAGCGTACAGCACACGTGTGAAAGAGCCTCGTCTCTAAAGAGCGACCTTCACCTTTTTTGCTTACATAATTCCGTCGCTCGCTTGTATAAGTGAATGCGTGCGTCTGTCATGAAGCAGCCGTTTATTCGACACTTCCTCCGCGTGCGTACCTGGCGATCATTCCCCGTTTCGTCGTGTAATTTTCCCCGAAAGTCGCAATCGCGTTCCGCTGTCGTTTCTCAATGACAGTTCCTATCGCGATGAGGCGAGTAACTTTTACAAGTAAACGAATGTGTCAACGAATATCTGTTATTTTTCATCGGCTACTTTCTATGAATTTACGCTAGCACATTGTTGACTGACAATTTGCAACATTGTCCAACCATTGTTACCGGCTACTTTTTTCCTACCGTAACAGCAGATAAATTTTTATCGTCAACTTCGCTGCAAACTGATGTAATTGAATAGCATGTAAAAATGACATACTGATTTCCAAATTGGCGCCGGAAACACAAAGTTTCCCAATGTCATTGCGGCAATCAACGTGTCAACGCTAAAACTACCGACGATTAATGCGACATGTGTTATTTCTACCGAGTCGGTCAAAATGACCTCTGAAGCGGAAAAGTGTTACGCAAAGACAAAGAATGTTTATTAATTTATTCTTCAGCTTTATTTAATATTCCTTAGAAATGCAGAAGTCTCGTTACATAAATTCGAATAATTTTCATGAGAAATTACCAATCGGTCATTATTCGACCGCTTCGGTAGTTTTAGTGTCAACTCTCGAGCGAGCAAGGGAGAAAAAAAGAGTCACCAGTGGAATATTCGCTCTCACCTAAACGGTCCTTTTCTCGATGCGCATATAAGTTCGCGATACGCGCGTCGACGATTACATAATATCTTTCAATATTTCATCCTTATACGTAGGTCTTCCCTCGTACGCTGGATCCACTCGGTAAGATAGCCCAGCTTCTTCGTTCTGTTGACCGCGCGTCGAAATCTTCCACCCGCTTCTCCTTCGTTTGCATCTTTCGTCCATAGAAAAAGTTCTTACTCGTAGGAGTTCCGCTTTTTTTTTTCTTTTTGTCTTCTCCTTCTCTCTTCTAAAGGTGGAAGCTAGATTTGGTTGACCCAACAGGACGCGTGTCCGCGACGAATCGTTCAGTTCGCAGGCTCTCGTGCATACGTAAATGCACGCGGATAAACAGATGCAAATGTCACATCGCGTCGATACACGTCATGTTCTATCGACATTATGATAATGCGCTTGAGTTTTGTATTTCAAAAATAGAAGAAGAGGGAAAAATAAAAATTGCCCGCTCGATGACGGACGAAGCAGGCGCAGACGATGAATGCGATATGTCACTTCTCGCAGAAACTCGAGAGTGAATCTGGTGATTTATTTACTAACGACCTACTAACTGGACGTTTCGTTTGGCGTTGCACGACTGTGGGGGTGTAGTTAGTTGACTGAGTCCAGGATTTGTGTTTCCTTCTCTGTTTCTTCTCTCGGTGCACTAAATGCATGCTGGAACGTCAACGCAGGGTCATAGAGCCTGTCATATTCTCTTGTTCACACTGGACTCAGTCTCTCAGTTACGCGCAGTCGAACGGTATAATCGCCTCTTTCAGTAATGGCATTTTGTTCAGAGGGTCGCACACAGGACGTAGACATCAGTAGAGTCGGCGCCAGGGTGATGGACGAACTGGTGAAGCCTATGAACGACGTCCAGATCGACGACACGGAGTTCGCCTGCCTCAAAGCTATCGTCTTCTTCGACTCGCGTGAGTGTTTTTCTGCTGTAATCGGGGAGAGCCGCGTGTGTAATCGCGAGGTCGCTTGTGCTTGACGGAACGGAGAAAAAGTCGACGTAGTCGTCGTCGTCGCGCGCGCAATAGACATAAATGCATTCCGCTAATATAGATCGAATGCGATTCGCTTTCAATAATCTCCGCGCTCGCGCTCAATTCGATCTCGTTGTGGCAATCACGGCGCACGCCGGTTTCGCCCCGACACAGCTTTCATAAACAATCGCGAACCTCATTGCTTATTTATAGACATCGGGAAAAGTAATCATAGATTACGAGGAAGAAAGTTCGTTGGATTACCCCATTAATTAATGCTCTTGTCTATCAATTCTGCTATTGTTTCCATTTTTATTTTCATTGTTTTTCTTGTTACATTTTTATAGCGTAATAATATGCAAAGGACGATCTCCAGACTCGGCGTGCTTTTCTTTTTGTTTACATTCAAGTTCACTGCCTTCGTTTTTCATCAATAAAACTGGATTTTAGCTGTTATAGCCGCTTTAAAATACGATGTGTTCTATTTGCAATTCAACAACTTACACAATTAATATATTTCGCTCACTGAAATTAAAAGTAATTATTAAATGAAGGCAGAATTCTTTGAAACGATCGTATATAAAAAATAATTCTCAAACAAGCATTTCTTTAAACTTTAACACTAAGGAAAACGGGACATTGAGTAACGACGGGAAAATAATAACACGCTGGAAAAAAGAAAAAGGCCGCGCATTGATGCGTTAAAATGCGGCCGATCAAGTAGTTCAATATCGGTCCACAAGGTATTTTCATTTATAATTATCTCGTCATTAACATTAACCGTTAGCTGCCAACAGTGGCTGCCATCAGGGAACTTTATATTCTCGATGCCACTTGAAAATTAATACGTATTATTTTAATATGTTAAATATAATTATATTCAATATTGGAACTAATTATCGTTATCGACATTATGAACGTTATCGGCACTTTGACACGGCCGAAAATGAATATATAAATATAATTTATACAACGATGCGCTATATTCTCGATGAGCTTTGAATAAAATTAAAAACAAATAACAAATTGCTGCACTTGCACAAAATGTATTTATACACCATTTCAAAACCTGTCATTTCGACAATTTCGCCAGAAATTGAGATCGTACCAATCGTCAGTTTCAGCAGCTTACGACGACGACGACGAGCGTCGATCGTCATCGCGATCGATGCGCGCTGCCGACGTGCTCCAGACCGTCAATCGTCGCGCTAGATCGTCTCTAGATTGAATCATTACCTCATCGCTACATTATATCGTATCGTTACCGTTCGCAGACGCGCAAGGCTTGAGCGAGGCCGGCAAAGTGAAGCATATGCGCACCCAGATCCAAATGAACCTCGAGGACTACATCAGCGACCGACAGTACCACAGCCGAGGACGCTTCGGCGAGATTCTACTGATGCTGCCGGCCTTACAGTCGATCACGTGGCAGATGATCGAGCAGGTGCACTTCGTCAAACTGTTCGGGGTAGTGCACGTGGATACCCTGCTGCAGGAGATGCTCTTGGGCGGCACTACAACGGAGATGAACGGTACCGGCACCTCTTCCGTGTCGATTCCAAACCCAGCCGGCAGTTACGTCAGCAGCAACGGCAGCCCTACCAGCCCGTTGACGCCTGCTAATGTTGGATCGCCGCAGGATCATATGCTGACTACGGCTGGTAGCCCCGTCATGATCCTGAGGGACCTCACGCCCATTACCGTGCAAGACGACACCAGCTTCAGGTTGTTCAAGCAGGAACCGAGCTTGGAGACGGAACCGACCTTCTGACTAGACGTCGGGCTGAGCCAGCCGAGCTTGTTCAGCTTAGCCGGCGAAGCTCCACTGAGCGTGCAATGAGCGATCGCAATGATGTAATCGGCTCGTAATTTTGCATCGGTATACAGCTCCTTGCTACAGCATCGGACGGTGCCGCGTAACATGCTCATCGTCCGGTGTGTGTGTGTGTGTGTGTGTGTGCCATGTATCGTACGTAGCTCTGATGTACTCGTTATATTGAACACTCTTGTGGTTACGTCGCAACCGTGCTTATTAGTGCGAGCCAAGAGTATAAATCTTCCTTTGGAAGTTTGGAGAGCTCATATCTTTGACACATTGACAGCGGGTTAAGTAAAGCTACACTTTCCGCAGATTGGTGCTGTTTAGTTGTTTGAGTAAATTACGTCATCGGGGAGAAAGAGAGCTTGCAGTTAATGTTTTGTATTAATATTACATATTATATTACATATTATATGTAATATATTACACGTTAATAATATAACATTATATTACATATTATAATAATATAATTTGTTCAAGAATTTTACATAAGCGAATGATATTCTTCGATATTAACGGAATTTTTCCGACCATTTATGATATTTTACGTAGCACAATGTCTGCTGTCAAAGTGTTAATCGTGGTCTTTCGAAATACACGTGAAAGATATAAACTCGGAATCCGTAAGCTCGACTCGTCGAGTTTTCGAAATAATTGATTGCGGTGCTATTTATAAGTATAACGTTCTGGGAAGAAAAATTTCGTTAGCGTTATCGAGGTCTTACGTTATCGAGCGGTCTACATATCAACATCGTATCGGGTAAGACGTATCCGAAGATATCGGAAGATTAACGCTTCTGAAGTATCCTGTTGATATCGAGCCGTCTTTTCGTGCAGATAACCAATCGCATTTTCATTCTAATTATAATTTTTATTTATTCGTGGGATGATAAAATCCTTTCAGAAATCTTGTCACAAAATTCGTTTGTATGTAATCGTAGTAAAATGAGAGTGAACCGATGAAATAAATTGGATAATATTGAGAAGTACAGAAGAAAAGGAAATAACAGATTACAATCGTACATATGCAAGTGTAATAAACAAATTTTGATAATAAAATGAGGATCACATTAGATTCACTTCAATTTTCTATGATACCGGGCTAAAAGAACAAAGTCGAGAACAAATATTCAAGAACAACGAAAGGACGGTCAGGCATGAAACTAAAGAACGAGGAACTTTCCGCAAAAGTTTCCATGATGTAATTGCGGGAAACACTACATGTAAATTGTGATCGACATTCTGCTCAAATAATTGCTCAAGTAACAAAACTCTATATATGTCGTTTATTGTATTAGTCATAGCGTTAATTCAAATGTGATTGTCGACGTTGGTCCAAGAACGTTTATTGGACTAGGTGACAAATTGAAATCAAGGTATATGATGAATGTATATTATATGTCCCGAATGTATATATATATATATATGTATGTATGTATGTACATATATCATTGCGGGAAAAAAATAAGGAGAGGAGGAATTCCGAACCCAGTCTACGCAACGACAAATACGACGCAGCAGTATGCTGTATTGGAGTCGCGTTTCGCAATAATAATTAAAAATCCGCACCTGTACAAATAACGATCAGTCGCCGACCAAGATAAATGTGATAAGCGATATGATCGTATCTTGCCATTGCTACATCGCTGCAATAAATGATAGTATTCAAGCACATCAGCTTGTTTCCGAAATCTATACTGAAACCAAATCGAAGCAAACGACGTTTGGCCTGCGCTTGTCTGCGTACTACGTAACTATGCAATGACAATTAGCGTTAACTTAAAAGAGGCGGTGGAAAGTAGAGCCCATGGCCAACTATCGTTTGTACATACACAGAGTTATACGTTTGAATGCGACGACAAATAAGGAGAAATAATTGTGTTTGTATTATATCGATTTTAATCTGTTAACACTTTGATTGCCAAAGATGAGTTATCTCGTATGGTCTTCTTTCTTTTTTTAGTAAGCATTTTACTAAATAATCAATATGATTAATTAGCATATTAAAGTAATATATGCTAATAAAGTAATACAAAACTAAAACTAATATAATATATAAATTTGCTAAAGTAATATATGCTAATTGATTGGTATATTAAACTGACATTGATTTTAAAAATTGCGTCGGAAGCAAAGCTTCCCAATATTACTATGGCAATCAACGTGTTAACTGAGTCACTTTCAAATAAAAAAATAAATAAAAATAAAAAGGAAAGAAAACGGCACCCGTGAGTATAGTGAAAAGTAAATAAAAAGACGAATTGATTCGTCCTTTTTTTTTCTTTTTTTTATGACGAGTCAACTCGTCTTTCTCAGCTAACGGGTCAACATGAAATATGTTTCTACTTATTTCGCGGAGTCTCGCGAATCGCGGATCAGTAGCGTTATGAGGCGGCACGTTATAATTCGCATACGAACGATAATATGTAAATATGTAAAATTTAACTACGTCACGTAGTGTTACAAATATACATACATACATATATATATAACATTCCAAATATAATTAATTTCAGTATATTAAACCATAAACTTTAAGATAATTTTAAAATAATCGTCAGGACGTGCGTGTGTGCGCTATAACGTAACGCATCAAAAGCGAGTTTTCTGCGAAATGAAAAATGCGCCACTACAATGCAATTTACTGTTAGTAATAGCACGACAATAATGGTGTGCACGTGCATTCACCATTTTATACGCGGATATGGAACAGTCGATGAATCGGATAACGACTGTCTCTTCCAAATGGTTAGTGCACCCTATTTTGCGAGCTTTAGCGAGAAGTCTATGTTGACATTATGGCCGGTTAAAAAGCAATAGTATAATAATAATAATAATGATAATAACAGTAATATTAATAGTAATGATATTAACGGTACAATATAATATATAATATGACATTATAAACATGTCACAATCACAATGCGCCAGATAACATTCAGCTACATTTTATAAAGATACGTCGCGCGCACGCGAAATAAGATTTTGTTTTCATTCTGTCATCCGAGATTTTCATTTTAATTATTGTCTATCCGAAGATTCATATGACAAGTGCGCGTTAAATTGAAATTTTTTAATCTAAAAAAACTGCAGAAAACAATCAAATCCATAGCCCATTTAGGAATACTTGATTCTATATTTGATTGATTCTAAATTATATTTGATCCTAAATTTTTTCCAAACAAATAAAATATAAAACAAATTTGATTTTAAGTGATATTGAATTTTGATAAAAATATGTAAAGACCAAAGTTTCGTTGCAGTCACATAACTTCACAATATATAAATCAGTATTCACAGTCTGTTTTTATATTTGAGATCATTTGAAGATCATATCTAAGATCAGACTATGAATATATAATAATATTGTATAAAAGACGTATTTTAATTTGTAGTAATTAAGTTTTTTCAAAAATGTTTTAATTATATAATTATAAATAAGAAAAAGACATTTTAATGAGCCATATATATTTTACCGCTGTAAATATAGCATAAAGATATAAATATATTTTCTATTTTTGTATGATGAAAACTTACGAAACGTTAGCGCGTTTTAATATAAGACAGAGGAATATATCAGGTATAGTCCTATTAGAAAAAATATAAGATTGTTATTGTTGATAATGACGTGTTATACACCAGTGAATTATGGAATATATCATGCAGTGAAAGTGTAAAACATGTCAAAAGGAGAAACCATATCTAATAGGATATCTTAATTTTTAGTCGTGGGTTGTGAAGTAGATATTATCATTTCTTGTTATATGACTCTTTCTATATGTTGTTGACAGTTCGTATGTGACTGAAACCGTATATAATGTAAATAAAAAAATTAAATATGTAAATAAAATTTTTATTTGTTACATGTAAAATGCGATTATTTGTATGTTTAAGTAAAGGGTCATGTCTCATGTTAATTTATAAGATAATAAATTTTGTTTAATATTATTATATACATTGTGCTTCATTATTCCTATTAATCAATCACATTAAAACTATATTGGTCATTGTATACACATATAATAATTATTGTATAAATAGAATTTTTTTCATGTATTATGTTTCTCAATTGAATTCATAATCTGTTCGCTTACGTTTCTTAAGATTCACAGCACTTTGTGAAGTTTCAATAACATTTGAACCTTTTTTTAGCCATTCTTCCAGTTGTTGCTTGGCTCTTCTTCCTGAGACAAATAATTCTCTCTCTAATCTTGGCAATAAATTATTAAGTGTGGGATCAGCAGTAGGATTCTGTGCCCAGTCCATAATTAGCCTAAATCGAGATCTAAAAGTCTGAAAATTACATCATACAATTACGTTTGAACAACATAAGTTAGTTAATTCAATGTCTTAATGCTAACTTAACACTTACTAGCAATAAACTGTCGATGATCATTTCACAATCACGATTATTAAACTTTTTTAAGTACATTCCTAATTCATAATAATATGGATTCCACTTATTCAATATAACAGTACATGCATCAGCTAGTAAGATTTCTCTGTAACACATGCAAACATAAATAGAATAAATTGTTAAGAAAGTTACTTCAAACTTTCCATAAATTCATCATGTGATACACACCGATAGCCTTCTTTGTATGTTTTTGGTATATCTATACTAATTACAGGATCTCTTGAGACATTCAATGGTTGTGCCAGCCACAATGGAAGCTCTAACTTTGTACCTGGTTTTAAATCCTCAGATTCAGAAGAGAGATCCAGAAAACCTATATTGTATATCATATATCATTAACAAATTTTAATTACTTTATATACATAAAAAATAGGTTCTTATGTTTTATATAAAGCAGATGCCTAAATAAGTAGATATTATAAATATTAACATATATTATCACTGAACATGTAATGTCACATACAAGACATCTTTTTATATATTATATAATATTATAATTATATTAGACATAGACAGACATTACAATTATAACATAGAAAATTGGAAAATAAACATATAACACACACACACACGACTATATTTTCTTCAAATAAAACCAAAACACATTTTTTATTTAGTCTTATTTATTACTATACTCTATAACCAAACTATATAACTATAACCAAAAAAAATATAAATTCTATTAAACATCCTAATATAAAAAACACGGTAAAGGGAATAATTAAACTCACGTACCCAAACGAGGTAACGTAATCTCCACTTTGCATGATAATCGTTCTTCCGTACATAAAATATCTGTCAAGGAAAAATAATTTGTTCCGAAATGTGTAAGCAACGACATTCTGTCACAACCTGCATACTACGAAGCGTGGTCTACAATGACCGTAAGCCGTAAGCAGTAAGTAGAAAGCGTGAACAGAAAGTGCCAGAGCACAGGCTTCTGCATAATATACAACGTATAAACAGAATCAACCAATCAGAGTTCTTCATTTTGAGAGGGGAACTACGATGCTACATCCACTTTCAGGTTTCGACGGTAAAACCTGTATGTAGTGGCAGTCCGTGCTACATCCATTTTTAGGCGGTTTATGTCCGTGCTACAACCATAATAGCGTACTTGACAAGCACGGTCTCGCACATTGTTACGCGTTTATAACATGAATTAACATATTAACATGTGTAAAAAAAAAAAGAATTGACATTGTGTATGATTAATATCATGAAGATCATACGAAGTGTCCGGTAATTAGCTGCCAACCCGAAGTGTGAGGGTAGATTGGGTTGAGGCAAACATAAAAATCCCATACCATTTTGCGAGATTCGCAATAATTATCGAGTTATTAATGACAGAAATCTGAGGAGTAAAAGCGCGCCGACATAGATGATTCGAAAAGCGTTGTAGCTGCTCAGGGCAGCGGTCATGAATCTTTTCCCTAATGTGAATTAGTGAAGAGTGAAAGTGAATTTTGTGAATTAGTAAAGAATGAAAAATTTCATATGAATTTGTGAAAATTGAAACATTTCACACGACAATTTAGTCGTTCAACATGGCGGTTGCGATCTAGATAATTCTTAATGAATATCAAACAAATCAAAATGATCAAAATAATAATGTCTTTGTAATCCGAAGGATATTACGTGCAAAATCCGTTTGATATAATATCCAAAGAAAATGTTTCAAAATATGTATGTACAAGTACTATAAACCTTACGCACCGACGAGATATACATCAGTCTGTAAAGTAAGAGCGTGTACGGCATAAATGGCAGTTGGCTTCAAATATCGTCCTAGTTTTTTTTTAGCCGTATTGTGAGGCATATCTCAAGCACAAGCTTCGAGGAAAAAGAGTGTGCACTTTAAAGCAGCTGACACGACAAATTCGTCTCATTTGGAGGTCTTTACCGAACGAATACGCAGTCAACTTAGTGAAAAGTATGCCTCGGAGATGCCAGGCAATTATCAATGCCGGTGGTGACTGGATTCATTATTAATGGTATAGCGTTTTTCTTTTCATGGAGTACAAGAAATCCATGTACTTAAAAATCATTAAAAATAAATTTTTCTACACATTAACCCATACACGCTCTTACTTTACAGACTGTACTACAAAGACTGATGGCTTTACGGGATTTAGCGTATCAGAGAAATTTCCCTGGTGAGGCATCCGGGCGAAAGAGACCGTCTTGCATTTAGCGCAGTAAAATTTAATGGGAACTAATACTTTTCAATCCTTTCCTTCGGATCAAAAAGATTCAGAATTCAGATATATTCAAAATGTCAATACTTTTTAATACGTTATAATTCGACATTTTATACAGGGAAGCAGGACGAAGGGAATGGGATGCGGGCAACGATACATCATGCGTCTCCAGACGTGTCAAATCGTTTATTATAGAGGAGACTTTGATACGGCAACATGTATTCGAATATTTAATCGTCCCATGGACCACTTATATATAATAATAAAAAACAATTAACGCGCATAAATGAACGATTCGTATAAATTTTTCTTTTTCTTGTAGAGCAATGAAAGAGTAAATCAGTATCGAAAATCGAATACCGATTAATACCATAAATTAGTGTCAGAAAATTGTCCAATGACAATTTGTTCTCATTTTTCAAGTAATCACCGCTGTAATTTACACAACAAATTAACTCGGTTAAACGAACGATTCGTACCAATATTTCTTCTCTTATAAAGAAATGAGAGAATAAATCAGTACCGAAAATCGAAGGCCGATCAATACCTAATTTATTCATCAAATTAACGCGGATTAATGGACGATTCGTATTAATTTTCTGTTTTCTTATAGCAAAATGAAAGAGTAAATCAGTATACGAAAATCGAATATCGATTACTACCATAAATCAGTGTCAGAAAATTGTCGAAGTGCAATGACAATTTGTTCTCATTTCCCAGGTACTTACCCCTCTAATTTACTCAACAAATTAACTCGAATAAACAAATGATTCGTATCAATTTTTCTTCTCTTATAAAGAAATGAGAGAATAAATCAGTACCGAAAATCGAAGGCCGATCAATACCTAATTTTTTCATCAAATTAACGCGGATAAATAAACGATTCGTACCCATTTTTTTCTTTTCTTATACAGGAATGAAAGAGTAAATCAGTACCGAAAATTGAAACCCGATCAATATTTAATTTATTATTTAATTTATTCATCAAATTAACGCGGATAAATGAACGATTCGTATCAATTTTTTCTTTTCTTATGGTACAATGAAAAAGTAAATCTGTACCGAAAATTGAATATTGATTAATATCATAAATCAGTGTCAGAAAATTGTCCAAGTGCAATGACAATTTGTTCTTATTTTTCAGGTACTTACCCTTCTAATTTACTCAATAAATTAACTCGGATAAACAAACGATTCGTATCAATTATTATTCTCTTATAAAGAAATTAGAGAATCCGTCAGTACCGAAAATTGAAGGCCGTTCAATATTTAATTTATTCATCAAATTAACGCGGATAAATGAACGATTCGTATGAATTTTTTTTTCTTATAGAGAAATGAAAGAGTAAATCAGTACCGAAAATCGAATATCGATTAATACCATAAATCAGTGTCAAAAGATTGTCCAAGTGCAATGACAATTTGTTTTCATTTTTCAGGTACTTACCCCTCTAATCTTATTCAACAAATTAACTCGGATAAACGAACGATTCGTATCAACTTTTTTTGTCTTGTAAAAAAATGAGAAAATAGATCAGTACCGAAAACCGAAGACTGATAAATATTTAATTTATTCATCAAATTAACGCGCATAAATGAACGATTCGTATCAATTTTTTCTTTTCTTATGGTACAATAAAAGAGTAAATCAATACCGAAAATCGAATATCGATTAATACCATAAATCAGTGTCAAAAAATTGTCCAAGTGCAATGACAATTTATTCTTATTATTCAAGTACTTACCCCTCTAATCTTATTCAACAAATTAACTCGGATAAACGAACGATTCGTACCCATTTTTTTCTTTTCTTATACAGGAATGAAAGAGTAAATCAGTACCGAAAATTGAAAACCGATCAATATTTAATTTATTCCTCAAATTAACGCGGATAAATGAACGATTCGTATCAATTTTTTCTTTTCTTATAGTGCAATAAAAGAGTAAATCAATATCGAAAATTGAATATTGATTAATACCATAAATCAGTGTCAAAAGATTGTCCAAGTGCAATGACAATTTGTTTTCATTTTTCAGGTACTTACCCTTCTAATTTACTCAATAAATTAACTCGGATAAACAAACGATTCGTATCAATTATTATTCTCTTATAAAGAAATTAGAGAATCCGTCAGTACCGAAAATTGAAGGCCGTTCAATATTTAATTTATTCATCAAATTAACGCGGATAAATGAACGATTCGTATGAATTTTTTTTTCTTATAGAGAAATGAAAGAGTAAATCAGTACCGAAAATCGAATATCGATTAATACCATAAATCAGTGTCAAAAGATTGTCCAAGTGCAATGACAATTTGTTTTCATTTTTCAGGTACTTACCCCTCTAATCTTATTCAACAAATTAACTCGGATAAACGAACGATTCGTATCAACTTTTTTTGTCTTGTAAAAAAATGAGAAAATAGATCAGTACCGAAAACCGAAGACTGATAAATATTTAATTTATTCATCAAATTAACGCGCATAAATGAACGATTCGTATCAATTTTTTCTTTTCTTATGGTACAATAAAAGAGTAAATCAATACCGAAAATCGAATATCGATTAATACCATAAATCAGTGTCAAAAAATTGTCCAAGTGCAATGACAATTTATTCTTATTATTCAAGTACTTACCCCTCTAATCTTATTCAACAAATTAACTCGGATAAACGAACGATTCGTACCCATTTTTTTCTTTTCTTATACAGGAATGAAAGAGTAAATCAGTACCGAAAATTGAAAACCGATCAATATTTAATTTATTCCTCAAATTAACGCGGATAAATGAACGATTCGTATCAATTTTTTCTTTTCTTATAGTGCAATAAAAGAGTAAATCAATATCGAAAATTGAATATTGATTAATACCATAAATCAGTGTCAAAAGATTGTCCAAGTGCAATGACAATTTGTTTTCATTTTTCAGGTACTTACCGCTCTAATCTTATTCAACAAATTAACTCCGATAAACGAACGATTCGTACCAATTTTTTTTGTCTTGTAAAAAAATGAGAAAATACCGAGAGAATACCGAGAGAAAATCAGTGAAAGAGTAAATCAGTACCGAAAATCGAATATCGATTAATACCATAAATCAGTGTCAAAAAATTGTGCAAGTGCAATGACAATTTGTTCTTATTATTCAGTACTTCCTCCACTTAATCTTATTCAACAAATTAACTCGCATAAACGAACGTTTCGTATCAATTTCTTTGTCTTACAAAAAAATGAGAAATTAAATCAGTACCAAAAACTGAAGACTGGCCAATACCATAAATCAATGCCAAGATAATTATCTAAGTACAATGATAATTTGTTCTCATTTTTTCTCAGGTATTCTCCCTCAGGTATTTATCCCTCTAATTTATTCAACAAATTAACTCGAATAAACGAATGATTCGTATCAATTTTTCTTGTCTTATAAAGAAATGAAAGAATAAATCAGTACCGAAAATTGAAGATCGATCAATATTTAATTTATTCATCAAATTAACGCGGATAAATGAACGAGTCGTATCAATTTTTTTTTCTTGTAGAGAAATGAAAGAGTAAATCAGTACCGAAAATCGAATATCGATCAATACCAAAAATTAGTGTCAGGAGATTGTCCAAGTGCAATGACAATTCGTTCTTATTTTTCAGGTACTTACCCCTCTAATTTATTCAACAAATTAACTCGGATATATAAACGAACGATTCGTATTAATTTTTTCTTCTCTTATAGAGAAATGAGGA